TTGTTTTTTGTTTCCTTTAGCTGCAAAAACGGCACACACACACACACACACACACACACACACACACACACACACACACACACACACACACAGCTGACTGAAAATAGTCTGTTGTTTTGACTTTGTATACAAGGACAATCGATTTAAAAGAAAACAATGTTGAGTTAATGTGCTTCCCCCTCAGGTTTAACAGGAGATTATTTACAACTATAATATATGCAGTGTGTGCCAGTTTTACCTAAATGACTATACATTAGAGCTGGGCGGTATGACCCAAATTTTATATCACGGTATTTTCAACAATTACACCGGTTTCACGGTATTTGACGGTATTTTTTTCCTCACAGGTCAGCTGATAATAAAATGTACAAACTTTGCTTATTGACTTTTTTCTTTTATCACTGTTTCCCTCCTCTTGTACATCTTTTCTTCTTTGCCTGGTTGTAGATAGTAATCATGCATTTTGGTCCGATCGTGAAGGGTTGAGAAAAAAATCATTATCTGGTCTATCGTGCGTGTGAATAAAACTTAAAAGGATGACTCACCTTGTACACCAGTCAACTCCGCTACACTACAAAACTACTTCCCCCCGGGCTTTTCACAATAGAAACATGCTAGAGTTTCCATGCAATAACGTCTCCATTATAACGTAGCACATTAAATCTAATCGTGCACATCACTGAAGAGTTGTTTACTATTCAGCGATGGTGAAAATGGGATTTTTTTTAACGTTAGACCATATAAGTGGCTGAAACACACCACCCACCGCCAGTTGTTCCAACAATAACGTTAGCATGCTAATGCACTTAGCGTTGCTACAACTAAATGTGTCCCCAGGGAAACAGCTCACTGGCGGCTGCGAAGAAACATTCCACACGTGTTCAGGCTATACCGGTATTCAGAAAAGTCATATCATAACAAAAATAAAAAACGGTTTTCGGTACAAAACGGTATACCGCCCAGCACTACTATACATCTTTTTGAAGTTTAGGACTACTTGCACGGAAAGGGTGTAACTTTAGGTCTACCATTGGCACTCTAAAACCCTGCATGTCATTTTCAGTTATTATGCTTAAATGTACATATATGGCATCATTAATGTTTAAATCATGTCAACGTTACCTAAAGACAACAAGAGAGTTGCATCTGTGTGCTACCCCCCCCCCCCCCAGCTAATTACGCCTATAGACATAATGTGTTTTCTTGACATGTAAACTAAATGATTAGTAATGTTAGAATGTAATGTTTGCTGCAGTGCTGCTCCAAGAACAGCTATCAGRAAGGATCTAACATCAAATAAAATGAGTATTAGCCTGACATGCTTGTATAAAATTGTGCTTTTATTTGAAAAATACCCAGTTTGAATTTGTTTTCTTCCAATAGCCTTGTAAAAATAATTCAAGCAAAGCAAAGGTTAATAGTAAACTTTATAGTGGTTGTTTTATTTCAGTTTTTAGAAGTAGGCCTACAGGGACAACCTTGCAATAATACTCAAGAACATGGGTGTCAGAATCAGTTACACAAAGGAAGCAAAATTCAAAACTTGGTCCAAGCCAAGGGCCAACCTTGGCCAATATTTATTGAATATAATATTAATATTAATCATGCTTTAAAATGTAATACATTTTACAAATTATACTTGCAGAATTGGCATCAGACTCATCTGATGTTCTCTGATGCTTGTTCCAAACTAAAATCAAAGATTACAAAAAAATCCAACTTTTTTTTTCATTTTAAAGTTGGCGATCTGTCATGAGAAGACTGCACAGTAAAACAAGCTTAACTTTATTTAACGCAAAGAGACAAGCGATTTAATTATTTAACATTTAAAATGCCATCTTTGGGGACAGATGAAATCCTACRGAGGTTAGATTTGCCCTTGGGTTTGGCACATGTGGTTTAGAGTCTGCTGCAGAAAATAAAAAGGCAGGAAACAAGGATTCCTCTGTACTGCCTTCCTGCCTGACAGCCCAGATATATAATAAAWATATTATTTGTGCTGCTTGATTGCATTCAAGTGATAGTTCTGTTTATTTAAAGCAGCGTTCTACTGAAAAGGCTAAGAACAATCAATAYCTTACCTGCCGTAGAAAACCTTTTGAGAAACAGACTAATTCTGATTAGAGTGATGGGTTAACAGCTAGTCTGAGCAGGCAAACACCAAACTGGATTGTCATCTTWATGCTAATCTCATAGGAGTTCAAACTACAATACTTTATGCGCTTACATCAGTTTCACAATAAATGATAAATGACACAGAAATTTGTCAACTAACCAAAGCGCTTCCAGTACAATTTGAGGCACTTACTGCTGGAATATTAATCRTTTTCTGCTAGAATCACAGGGTAATGCAGATGATGTAATGGTTTATGAAATAATGTTCACATGAGAAGCAGTTTGAGACTGGAGTTGTTTTAAGGCATCAGCAATCCACTTTGGCCGTGGTTTGTGTGTGAYGTATCAATCCTGTCAGAACTGAATGCTGTTTAGATTGTTCAAAGGTGTATCTGTACCAGGTAAGATATTAGCTGTTCATCTGAAACATCACTAAAAGTCTAGAGAGAGAGGGGGTGTTCAATTCAATTGTTAGTATTTGGCCTTGGTCTTTTCATTCATCTGAAAGCTGGAGCCTGCATCTGTTTGAGTTTGTGTGTCAGCGCATGACTGCRGGAGGAGGAGGGAGAAGAGGAAATGTGGGTTTTGCAGTGAGTGGGGGGAGGCAGGTCGGGGTGGTGGTCAGTCAAAATGAGTTGAGCTCTTACAACAGAGGAAACGGCGTGACGGTATCCACCAAGGTGGGAGAAAGTGAAGTGTGTTAGTGCGTATCTTTTCCTGTGATCAGGCAAATGCTTCACTTCCCACGAGAAACGCTGTGAGTTCCCATGGTGTGTAAGTGAGGGTGACTGTGTGTGTGTGTTGTGTTTCCATTACTCAGCAGTAAAGAGGTGTGTCGTGGAAAACAGGTAGAGTTACAACCACCTGACCGTGAGAGCAGATGGAGGAATCAGCTGATTTCTCCACTGCATGGATATTTACATGTCAACACTCCTTTCTTCCTAAAAAAAAAAACAACAAAAAAAAAAACACTGGAGGTTTAAAATAGGAATCAGGATGCTGGCTGTGCAGTCCACAGTCACGTCTGCCTTTGGTTAAAGGAGCTTTGAAGCTGCTGGGAGCAGTTCACCGCTGCTCCATGTGTTTTCCAGCAACAGATGCATGGTTGACTCATCATGGTTCAGACCAAAGAGCTGCCTGTCCACAGCCCCATTTGATCTGAAATATTTATCTGGGAGCCAAAGAGACTTCTTTCAAGAGTCATCAAAAACAAATCTTTTAACCCTGGAACACTGAGAAGTCATTTTAAACCCAAGCTTGAACAATGACAATTCAAAAAGAAGAAAAACAATTTCTTCTTCTTCTATTATTATTATTATTATTATTATTAATTAATTAATTAATTAATTAATGCCTTATATATGAAAAACATATAGCCTGTAAAATTGATTAGTAAACTGATTAAAACTTTAATTTACATGAAAGAAAAACAAGAAACTTCTGAAAAGCCACACACTCCGCCTCTCGGTTCACCTGCTGTGTGCTTCTGGAGATCCAGGTGTCCAGCAGCAGCTCCAGCCTCGGCCTGTGGTACCTCCCGGTGGTTTTCACCGCTATGAACAGGTCGGCCTGGGAGAGATGCTCCACCGGTGCAGGGGGAGTGTTGCTCCGCGGGAGGCCGCTCACCGCTCTCCTCTCCCGGGYGAGTCTCCTGATGTAAGCGGAGAAAACCCTGGAGCTCGTCTCGGCCGGGTCCTCTTTCGGGTGTCCGCCTCCTGTGACCACCAGCATCCCGGTCACGAGAAGGAAGGTGACCGCGGCTGCGGAGGCGAGAGGTCCCGCTGAACCGTGTCCCGCGGCGGSGGTGGGTTTCCACATTCTGACGGTGTGGACAGTTTCACAGCTTCGCTCATGGACAGAGCTACATCATGTCGCACGAACTCCACAAGTTTCAGACAGAAACTTCCCCACAAACTCTGAAGCTGAGCTGAGCTCGATTCTATTAATGATTGTGGGCGGGGAAATGGGCGTGGTCAATTATTAGTAAAGTGGGCGGAGATTGTGGGAACATCCCAGCAATAAATAAATAAATAAATAAATAAATAAAATAAAACAATAGGCGGACTATATGGCAAGCCTCTTTATCATGTAATACATTTTTAACAGCCTGCCATACTCGGATGTCCACAATGCAGCCATAAATCCCACTTTGTCTTCACAAAAATGTGCCAGACATGCTTTTATGTAATAATAGGCTACTTGGGAATGCAAACTATTTTAAAAAACTAATTGTCTGTAAAAAATTATAC